AGGGGTCTGAATACTTTCCGTACCAACTGTATGTCAGTGGTCTGGATATACGTAAAATAAGCAATAAAGGTTTTGCTCTCACCCAAGCCTATGGTTTTCTATACAATCCCGTGAATAAAGGAGAATTTACAATACGCTGTCTTCCCTCAGCTTGTAAACATTGTGACAAAAACAAAAGCCAATCTTATTTTCCTCAACCGAGCAATGTGAATAATGTTTGCCAGTGTCCCTTTAAATGCACCCATATGGTTCGCAGAGCATGACAATCAAACTCATGGTGTAAAAACAGGAAAAAACAATCCGGTATTAAACTGTTAGCGGCTAAAAATCTATATTCCCACATCAAACATTCCCTCCATCTTTTCAACACAGAAACATTCTCGAGAATTAAATCATGGACTGAACGAGACGCAGATGTGCAGCCAAAGTTAGAATTAACTGCAACTACCACTGCTGCAGAGCAGTTCCTGGACAAAATGGTACTCCTATATAATGATGAGCTTATGGCTGTTTTCACACTGGGATCATTTGTTTGAGTCTGAACTTGTGTGAAATGACCCCAGTGCCCTTCACTGTGTCGGTCTGCTTTCACCTTTATGTACTGATGTTGCAATCAGTTTGCCGAGTTCTTCTCTCAAAATGCAGGTGTTTCCAACGCACTGGCAGCAAATCTTAATTTTGATGTTGTTTAAGCTTTAAGAGTTCAGTATGCTTAAAATATACCAGGTCTAAGGTAAAGTACCTGTTCTGGATAGCCACATGTACAGGTGGGCTTAAAATATTGCTGTCATAGCCTCCTCTCTGCAGCATCCCACTGCCGCCTCTGTCGTCCCGACACACGCTCTCCTCCAAGCATTTATTAAAGGGAAGAGTGGGGTAAAGTGAGTAGGGTAAAACCAGTTTCTCTAGCTGCTCTTAGGTCTTTGAACAGCTCCCCCCTTATAATTGACAATTGTTGTAACGTGATGTATTATGTATATCCTTCTTGTTAAAATAAATGTAAATAAAATTGGTAGTGAAAAAAGGGTTGTTCAGCTCTGCAGGAGAGGTTGCTGTTTTAAAAATATAAGCACTATCAAGTCAGTGAGTCAGTATCAAGGAATCATGTTGTGCACACAGAATGTCCATGTTCATCATTCAGATAACATTAATAGTTAGCAGTTAGCTAATAGCTACAAGTAAATATACATTACTAGACTCCGTAAATTTAAAGTTTACGTCATTATTCAACACTTTGGTCTCAGGTAATATTAACATCGGACATTGCAACTTTAAATATGACAGAAACTAAGGAAATAGGTCTCCTTTAAAAACTGCTAAAACTTAATGACATATTTATTATTTTTTAAATCTCCGAGTGGAGAAATTCTTTGTTTACATGTTAAAAGTAGGATTATTTTCGGGAGCCTTGGTAGCTCACCTGGTGCACCATGTACCAAGGCTGAGTCCTTGCTGTGGCGGCCACGGGTTCGAATCCGACCTGTGGCCCTTTGCTACGTGTCATCCCCTCTCTCTGCCCCCTTTCCTGTCCATGTCTCAAGTTGTCTTAAACTGCTGTCCTGTTACATAAAGGAAAAAAACCCTCCCAAAATATATATATATAATATGAATTTATATATGTAGAAAAAAAGAAATGTTTTTAGTCCCACTTCAGTTTGCAGGCCTGTAATTTATTATTGTTTTATGCCAGGGTTGTCTCTTTGGAGGGAAAAGATCAAACACAAATGAGTCCAACATTCTCTGGCCTGAGTGATCACTACCTGCTGTTTAGAACAAAGTGTGCTTTTCCACTGAATAATGAATCTTTACTCTCAAACATTTGCTGTTGCTTTTGAGCAGCAGCGGTGCATTAAACGCGCAGGCGGCCTGCACATGCACTGGATAACTTGCAGTTTACTCTGTTTGATTTTACTCTTTCTAGATCTCCCTCTGGATTATAAGTTCCCCAGGTTTTCTCCCGACAAGCCCTGCACCACCGGCTACTACCCCAGGCCCCCGGATTCTTTGCTGAAGAGGTGCGAGAGTTTGTCATAAAAAAAAAAAAGGAAAAAGTTTGGGAAAAAAGTCCTCCCTTACCCCTCTGCCTCAGGAGAGGAATGTGCCTCCATTTTTGCCTGTAGTTTCCCACCTGACCCCGCCGCCATCTGTGGAGCACAGGAAGCATACACTCCTCACCCATTCAGAGAAACCATGTGAATGTAAGCCACAGTATCTCTCTGTAATAACGCCTACATTTGAACGTTGTTTCGTGGTTTAGTGTACTGTACACGTGGAAATACGACATAATAAGTGTGCGTGTGTGTCTGCATACAGTAATAATAGGAAATGTAGTGTTTTTATTGTTTCATGTGTGAGGCCGCTGTTATTTTTAATGGTAAATCCGATTTCTTCTAACTTTTCCCAAATAAAGTGAACATTTTACCGTCTCTTTATCCCTGAAGTGATTACCTCAAGAACGTTATCCGCTGTAAGCAGAACGCAGATGGTCACAGTGTGTTTGTCCCCTAAAAACCCCTTTGGAATCATTGTGTCGGTATTTCTGTATAACACTGTTATTGTGAAGTCTACTTCTTTTAAATATAGTTTAACTGTATGCGTTTTAGTAACCTTAACATGAGGTTTAAGGTCTAATGTTTCCCTCGTGTCAGTTTCGTAGAGGGTGTTAATCTTCAGGTCATTGTTGCTAAAGAACTGGCACAATGCTGTCCTTTTGTGTTGGCTGTTTCAAAAAACACAACTTTGGGAAACAATAATAATAATAATGATAATAATGGATGATGAAGACTATGCTAGATGTTCTCTGTATTATTTTTGGTGCAACAGTGACATGTGCTTTTTGAGTGATTGTGTAAAAATGTGGACTACTTGTGCTTCATTCATATGCAGTATCAGATTGAGATATGCTTCAGCCGACTTCTGAATGGTTATTTTGTCGGTGTCCATAGACAAGTTGTGCCATAATATTTAGGGAACACTCAGTTTGGGAGAAATCTGTGGAAGCCTGTTGCTGTCGAGTCACAGAAGATTGATTTCTGGTTTATCTCTGTGCATCTGGGAAGTGTTTAGCCTGGCTTAGAACTAAGACTGGACCACAGAAAAACTGTTATCCTCAGTCCAACATGGAAAAATACAACTTGCGACAACTCTAAAACTTAAATGTTTGTTCTTAAGAGCTACCAAGCTTGTCACAAAGATGAGAGCTCCAAAAGTTACTTGGGTTCACTTGACTGCAGTCAGTTAGACTAGAGGTCTTCACTAGTTCACTTGACTGAGAACCGAGCTGGGAGCCCAGTCGTGCCAGGTCCAAACTGTGTTCTGTCTAACTGGGTACGGTTGCAATCCTGTAACATTCCTCAGTTTTGGGTCTGCATGTCAATATGTGTAACTGGATCTAAGTGTTCTCAGTAATAGCTATCATCTGTTTGGGTCAGTTCAGGTCGGTGCCATGCCATTGTTCACCCATTATTCCGAAACCCCAAAAGTCTTAATATACTAAACAGAACCAAGTAGTCTTGTTGCCTAAACCTAACCATACTGCAACCGTTCCATAATGTTAACCAAATGTTTGTTATTGTTACCATGACAATGAAGGTCAACTGATGTTTGCACAGCAAAATACAGTAAGATATTAATCTTAATTAATATTTAGAACAGCAGGCCTTCAGAGCAGTGGGCTTTTATTTTCAGGATAATGGGCTGTCGGACCAATGGGCATTCGGTCCAATGGGACAGTTTTCAGACTATTAGGGTTTCAGAATAATGGGCCTTTCCCATTCAGGTTGACCACATTTTGGCTCAGGTCTAATTATCCTTGGGTCTGTTCAGATTAAGTCTGTATGTCCTTGGGCAGTTGGGTCTCTTATTATAGAGTTCTGTTTTGGATTGGGTCTAAAATTTTCGATACAATTCTGATGAAAATGTGGTAACGGGTCACAAAGAGGACATTTGAGATGCTACATGGTAGGGCTGTCACTTTTTCAAAATGTCAAATTGAAACAAATGTTAGCAAACTGCTTTACCTTTGTCCATGAGTTTTCAGTGCCAAATCCAGAATTCTTCCGTGTTACTTCTCATATGGTTTGCAGTCATCTGTTTAGCACAGTTAGCTAGTTTACTCCATTTTCTGTTAGCTAAGGCGACAACAACAGCCTAATTTGCTAAGGGCAAGGCAATAGAACAGAGTGACCATGCATCTTATAAACACAATGTACAAGGTACAAAGTTTCAGAGAGATTATTACATGCCTAACACTTTCTTTTATTCAGTGCCTGAACTGTAGTTTACAAATAATTTTCTTTGGAAGTACTTTTGACAGAGCTCGACTGGCTTCTTGGCTAGCTGCTAGCTAGTTTGCTTTCTAGTTCATTTTAGTCTTTGTGCTAAGCTGGGCTCAACATCCTAAAATAATACGGGTTTCAATCTTCTCATCTGGCTTTGAGCAACACATGAAATGAGAAGATTTCCCAAATGTGGAAGTGTTCCTGTAAGATAACCATCATCTCACAAATAGAGAGGGAATACAAGTGTCGGCATGTATGTGAGATTGGTCATCCAAAGTGAATTATTACTTGTGCTGTGTGTGCAAGTGTTTTATGCATACAGCTGTTGTGATTGTACTATTATTTTCTCATCCAACCTGGAAAATTTGACATGCACATTTGCCTTATGTTGGATTCATTTGTGGTCTTAAGTTCTTTAAAAACACAGGGAAAGTTCAATTCTGTGTTCCAGTGTTGAATTACTGTCAATTAAATAAAATGTTCTACAATTTTCTTATATATGGCTTTCTCTTTTTGAGTTTTCTTTGCAAGCTTCAGCAAACAAAGACTTGTACTGTACACACACTGAGAGAACAGCGCAGGTTTAAAGGGGAATACATGAAGCATGAGCTAGTTTATTCTCATTCATTTTGTGTAAATGGGAAGAGAAGCAACAATGTATTTCTTTCGCAGTTAAAGCATGTATTTTTTTTCAACATACTCATCTGCAGCATCCCTTCAGGGAAAAGCAGAGACCTGCAAGGTTAAAGCCCAGTCTCACTTCTGTCCCCAAAAGGGGCGGAGTCAGACATTATAAACATTTGGTGCTTAGCCCACACCTATGGGGGACTTTTTTCCCTCCCAAAACACACTGCACTATTTTTCAATCATATCAATTCATTGATAACGGCCCAGGAAAAAATCCTCCTGTAGAGCGTATGTCCTAATTTGTATGTAATTGCTCTCTACCTGTCTTCATCATTCTGAAACCAGAACACAACAAATGCTAAAGATGACTCCTTTTCATTGCTGCCACCTAAAAAGGGTCCATCACTATTATTTTTAAGTTACATAACAAAAGTAGGGGTGTGGGGGGATTTGGCATAAACTAATCTCCTAACTATGCTGGAGTCAAGTTCATAATTTTTAGTTTTGTTTGTTTATATCTATAGTCCATAACCTAGAAAGATAGCTAGCAAGCTTCCTCACTGAGGCAACACGACTGAATGAAACACATCACACACACAGGGTGGACTGGGGAAATAGTGGGTGATATGATATTTCCCCATTAATGGAACTTTTGCTTTCACTGATTTCCAGGTCCGGTCAGAGAGACTGAGGGGGAATGACCCAAAGTTGAAGTTATTTTAAAAGCCTAAAAGATTTGTGGCCCACAAATGAGTCCTTGCTGCTGTGGCCATGGGTTCAACTCCAACCTGTGCTGCATGTCATCCCCTTTCTCTCTCCCCTGTCCTGTCACTCTTCAGCTGTCATTATCAATTAAAGACAATTACAATGAATTATTGCCCCAACAATATGTTTTTAAACTGCACAGCTCAGCCACTTGGCCACACTGTTATATTTAGCATTGGCTGCTTCAAGTGTAACACTGTAACCAAACCCTTGACCACTCATTTGTTTTATAAAACACACATATGCTCAGATGAAACACTGTTACCAGTTTGTAGACTGAGGAAGGCAAATGATTTCATCATAAAATTGTAGTGAGGTCCCATTGATAAGGTCTGATTGCTTCTTTTTGTTGATTTAACACAGTGAGCATATAAGGGAGTAAAGCGTGCTGGTTACTATTTCACATTTGAAGATGACAAGGTTGACAGAATAACTGATACCAGAGCTGCCATACTTACTGTCTCAGAGGCTCATTCAAGACTGTATTTTCCTGAGGTACACTCACTTGCCATTTTATTAAGTGCAGCTCAAATTGGCTATTGGTAACAGCAGCACACCCCTAAAAAACGCCTGGCCACCTCAGCTTGGTGTCAAATACTGGCAAATGTAACACTTTAATAAAGATAACATGTTAAAACATAGAATTTAATGATCTGTTATGGCTACAATTTATAATAAGTGACAGGCTTACATTCAATGAAAAAAGACAAAACTATTTATTAATTTCTAAATCCACCTTTAGATATTTCTATTCAGTGTTTTACTGATCAGTTCAGGAAGAAAGCTTCTCAAAGCAATGACTTAGTATCTGAGAAAGTTTCTCATTATTTTGAGATGCTTAGTCGATATTTTGAGAAAGTTTTCCCCCATCACACTGGCTGCCATATTAAAACATGCAGTATTAAAGCTGGCTGTGTTTATGAGGCAGTATGTAAGAAGGACTTTCTCTCCACTACCTGTGGAGTGAACTCGCGGGGCAGAGTGGGAGGAGGGCGGCCACTTGATTCATTAGTCTCCTTTAAGCCTCTCTCTCTCTCCCCTGCCGCCCCTCCTCATTCGCCAGCATGACGCTCCCTCTGCACTCACACATTCTTTCCCTCCACTCTCTCACTCCGTTTCGTCCCTAAAACCGAACTTTTCAACAGTATCGATAATCTTTCGGAAACTGCCCCGCTGCGAGGGGAAGAAATGCCGCTTGTGTCGACGGGAACTCGGCGTAGTGAGCGGCTCTTCTGACAGGTAACCGCTTTTTCCTCTCCGCTCCCGAACCTTCTAGTCCGACAGGAACAAGGCAACGTTTGTGTAAGGTTTGGATTATCAATAGCATCGATAAGTGGTATCACTGTTCAGAATTGACTTTGGTGTTTGGTGGAGAGGGGTTTATAGAAGAAGGGCAGCCGCAGGTTTGTGATATGACACTTGTAAAGTTAGCTTAAAGTTTGAAAAAAGTAAAGTAGCATCTTATTGGCGTTTATCAGTGGAGTGCTTCTTCTGGCTGGAACAGTTTAAAGTGGTTGACAGTATAAAACCTCTGCTGTTAAAGCTTCTTATAACTGTTGGGTGACAGTTTATCACTCATAGCTATTAGCTAACTGTATTTAAACAGCACTTCATGTTTTAAAGTAACTAAGTCAGAACATGGGAATAGCTAGTAAGGCCTGAGGCTAGGTAAAACTCTTGATATAAGTGTGCATTGTTTTTAGCTCATTATTTTTACACTGACATCACAATTGTGTCTGTTGCTACAAAGTATAGAAATATGCTGCCATAGTACATAATGATTACATAATGAGAGTAACGTCTGTAAGTTCTGTAAGGTTCTGTAGTACGTTAGGTAAGTTTTATAAAATAACTTTTTGTCATATTCACTGAGACTTTCCCTATACCCTTACAGTACAATGAGACAGATACTGTGCTCCTAATGGCATTCACAAGAATCTGCTGAGCCCAAATGAAAACCAATCAGAGCCAAGAAATTCAGTCAGTCACTTCGGCTGGTGGCTTGAAGATAGTTGGTTGTTCCCAGGTCCAACACTGGGAATGAGACTCAACAATCAAAAACTCATTTTCATAAAAATGACCTGCAGCTTTAAAGCACGTCCTAGCTAACAGTTGAGGTCATGTCATTTTCTGGGAGTTTGGGGGTATTTCCAACAGTGGGGGACTTTATATGTTATGGTAACACTTCATTTCTATAGTCTGCCTATAGATTTTGTCTGTAGGTGTTTAATTGACAAGCTGGTGTATGTGACAGTTCATGAACATACTCTAACCAAGAGGTTTGTGCCTAAAACTGAACCTTAACCACAGTGGCGTAATATCAGAAATATGGGTGTTGGATTTCAGCTAATAAGCCGGTGAAATGTTACAAATACTCTATAAACTGTCTATAGGCAGACCATACAAATGAAGTGTTACCTATTTTATAATTAAAAACACACGTCAGGCACATTTTACACAAATTGTATAACCTTTTAGCTAAGTGGTTAAAAAACAAGGTAAAACCACTTTCCTGCCAGAAATACTAGTGTGTCCGGGTGAATCCTGGTAAAAAAGGAGAAAGTCATCATAAGTTTAAACATTTTTATGAACTAATGGTTTTCATTATGCCGGACTTTTTTGCTGCACTGCCCTCAGCACCCCTACTTCCAGCACCCATGATTAATAATAAAGTAGGTTTTAGAAGTGAATCCGTGTAACACCTGTTTTAGTGTACTGTTTTAAGATTTCAATCTGAAAATAACTCATTAAAGAATCAAAGCACTGGATACAAAACCTTTAATACAACTGTACTACAGACACAGCTGGTAGAAAACATTACTCTATACGGACCTTTCTATAAAAATGTTATTTATGGTATTATGGACACGGCTTTTATACACATTTACACCTTCCTTTTTGAGAAATATAATTTTAGGGCTGCAGTTAACAGTTATTTTCATTATCCACTAATTTATCAATCGTTCTTCTGATTAATTAAAAAAAGATGCTCTGATGATGAGGCCGCCACATTACCTTGTTTGCCTTTGACTATTCATCCAACATTGGAACGGATTAACCAACTCCAGTCTATGAAATGTCTTGCCCAAAACCCAGAGATATGTATGCAGTGATATAAAACACAAACAAGCATGTTTGGCATTTTAAATTTGCCATAAATCTTTTGTCAAATGACAAATGCAATTAAATGCATTGAGCCTCAGTAAAACTCACTGCAGTACAGTTCTGGCTTTAAGCACTCATCAGAATACATTGCAGTAATGCTGTTGTCAATAAGAATGTCTTAAAGACCTATAACAGGGTCTACCAAAACATTGAGTGTAGAGTTATGGCCCAAAGCAAGTACGTTTTAGATCAGTGTAATTCAGGCTTACAGGCGTCCTCAGTACAAATAGATCCCTGGCTGCTGCCACACTTACAGCTTTAGCGTGATAAATCAGTTGTCTTGGCCACTATCCTCACGTTCACCACAGAGGAATGTGTCTTCTCATAAGGGCTAATGTCAAAATGAACTTAAGGAGGGGCAGTCATTTTACACGCCAACTTCAGTCTTTCCTTGTTTATCAAACACAAAGTGCAACACCCGGACAGCTCACTGCATCAGAATGGACTCCGGTCTAGACGCCGTTTAAATCACTACCAAAAGCTTTTCCACCGGGCCTTCGCCAACAGCTCCACTAAGGTCATGGAATTTACTCTCATGTTCGGAGCACAGACGGTGGGCCAACTCTTGTCTTTCTGTAAAAGCGGCGCAGTTTGGTTTAAAGGCTGTTTCAGTGGACCAGAGTAATGTTACTGCGGTAATGGGCCATTTATGACCTCCAGGCCTGCTCGTCTGGCCATCTGGGTGTGCATGGCTAGACTTGTCTGACAATGGCAACTCAGAAATAAATGTCGGAGAGTGAATATTAGGTAACACAGTGTGCAGAGGTGTAGTACAGTGTCCAGATTTGGCTGCTAGGTGGACAAAGTAAGTGAGGATTTATGGCAGAAGGGTATTGTGGTCATCTTGGTATCAATAAAGAAATAACAATTTGGAGGAAATATGTACAAAGTTTAAACAAGATGACTTCTCCCTAGGTTTCGGGGCAGTACAGTGGTTAGTTCTTTACTGTGCTGTTCAGTAATGACCTACATCAGTATGGAAAGCCTGCATCATCAGGACTACAGCTGTCTCTAATTATTCAAGGAATGCAGGGCTTTTGTAAGAAAAGGCTGTGCAGAATATGGGCCGGCTTTCTCAAATCCTTCTCTTCCCCGCACTTCTCCCTCTCAGCTGAGCTCCGTCGGCTGTCCCTCTCTGATGACACCATGAGAACCCACACCCGCGGGGCCCCCACAGTCTTCTTCATAAGTCTGCTGTGGCCCCTGCTCGCCCCGGTGGTGGCGGCAGAAGTAGACCCCAGTGGAGGAATCCCCTTCATGGGAGGCAACTACGATGGTCATCCTATGCTGTACTTCAACCGGGGTTACGTGGAGGAGATGCAGTACGCGGCCGCGGGGACTCATCGGGACATGGCGAGGAGGATCCGCGAGGCTGGCGAAACCATGCTGGAGCACCCAGAAGTGTACCTGCCCCCCTGGAGCCCCGCGGAGTTCAGTGCCCGCTGGAACGAGGTGTACGGAAACAACCTGGGCGTGCTGTCCATGTTCTGCCTGCTGTACCCCCACAGGGCCGGGGCCCTCGACCTGGCAAAGGACTACATGGAGAGGATGGCGGCTCAGCCTAGTTGGTACATTTTCTGTCTTTTTATTATTTCATATGTTTAATATTTTTAATTAAAGCCACAGTCTGCGTATTGGGAAAATGTTGGACCCTCCAATTCAGATTTACTTCCTTTCTGTCTGTTTTTCATTTTAGAGAGAAAACTAGAAATCTTTTCAGAGTTTACAGATGGTGCCTGATATAGGTTTCCATCCCCATGTGTGCATCAACTGGGTATTAATGCTAAATCCTCCCCCTTAGAGGCTTTCTAGTCAGTCCCATCTCCGGAGTCTTCTCATTTTTCTCTGTGGGCAGAGTTCTGGTAAAGATGCATTGTGGTCCGATAAGTCTCTGGTCCAGGAATATGTTTAGCAGCTGTTTTCTGACCATGCCCCCCCCCCCATGAAAGGAAATGAAATGTTCAGATGTGAGCTATGTAGCCCACTACAGTGGCCCGGGCTGAGATTTAGGGTCCAGGTCCAGGTTAAAGCTGCAGTAGGTAACTTTTATAAAATAACTTTTTGTCATATTTACTGAAACTTGCACTATCTCCTGACAGTAGTACTTGAGACAGATAATCTGTGAAAAAATTAGGTTCCTCTGGCTCCTCCTAGTGCTCCTAGTGGTATTTGTAAGAAATCCACCAGGTCTGAACAAAAACAACCATTTAGAGCCAAGAAAGATATGAAGACGCATTGGGTTGGAGGCTTGACCATAGTTGATTGTTGAGTTTCATTCCCATATTAATTCATCTGTCAGTTATGTTTTTGATTAATAATTTTCCCTTAATGCCAGAAAATAGACTGCGTACCCAAGATGGTAATGACTTTATAATGATTATAACTTGTGACCCCTTGAAATGAAGCAATATTTTTAAGTGGCCCCCGGTCACAGGTCACATATGTGGCAACAGTTAGCTAAAGACTCATGTTTCCTGCTCGGACTGATTCATTGGAATCTCTTCAGAGGCCTGGGGAGCTAAAATGATCAGCAAAGGTTAGAGCAAAAAAATGTTTCCTGTTCTGTGAATCATCTCGCAATCCTTGAGATTAACCTTTGACCTTTGTTCCCCTTGGAACCACTGGTTTACAGTATTTCTATGTTGGAATATCAAGTTTAACATGGCGGACTCTGTAGAAGAGGACCTAAGGTTTTGAGATATCCACCTCTTAGATTTCTGCCTACACCAGATTACAGTCTGTACTGTCAGCATTTCTCATTTATTTCCTGGTAGAACGTAGTTCCAAAGAAATCTGCTCAGCGTGACATCAGGGCCTAATTTAGGGCATCTGGACACTGGTTCCTCGAAAAACAAAAAAAGTTATCTATGGCTACTGTACCTACGGCACCAGAGGAAGTGAGAATATGATGTCATTTTGGTGACATCCTCCTTCCTTCCTTCCTGTTGTACTCAGAAATGCTTAATAATGTAAAACAGTAGCTTCCTTTCGTTGTGAGTCCGTTGACTCAGTACTTGAGCACTTCTCATCCATCTTGGCTGAAAAGTCCACTATAGACCTTGGAAACAGTGGTTTCCAATCAATTGTTCAATGTTAAGTACATTAAAGACACACAAAGGGCAACCATTTACAGCATACTGCCTTTAGAAACTGAGTACACTAAGCTGTATCAGTAATCATTATACACATTAGTAAAGCATTAATCAAACTAATAACTAACAGCACTTAACTTCAGACAACCTTATCATACTTTAACAGTTAGCTAGTGTTTCTCTAGTGGAGACCAAACGTTAAAAATCATCCATGTTAGCAGTTTGAATTCAACTAAAAGCTCCCTGCCCCAAACTCCCTTTAAAAAAATATCACATTGAAAAAATTTGAACGTGTCAGTAACAATACGTAACTCTAGAAACATGAGCTAAAGGCCGTTATTTGTCGATAGTATTCTGGTCAATACAGTATCAATATCATCCATAAAGATAATGTACATTTTGCTGCTTCAGCTCACTCAGCCTCCGTTGTAGCTGCGCTCCTTCAGTGGGAGAACACTATGGGAATGAGAGGTGGACCCTAAAGAGTTAAGATTTCTCACTAAAATTAGTTTATTCACTGTCCATTTGTGTGTGTCAGTATCTGAGAAGTTTTTTTTATTTTTTTTTGGGCTGTTACCAAAGAAACTATCGGTTCGCTGCTTCCTGTCTGGTGCCGGCTACCCGTGTCTGCTCTCACTGGCTGAAATTCACTGCATGGCTCCCCCAGTCCTCTCTGACCCGACCCGATATTTAGCCTACTAGATATTTCTGTGGCGTTGACAGGAGCAATCTGATCGGGGGCAGTTGTTGGCAATCTCCAAAATAGTCGGCAAGTGGAAAATCAGGGCTCAAATCACGTAGTGTGAACTGAGCTTTAGGCTTAGAGTTCAAGTGTTCGGACACAGCTGCAAAACAACCTATAACAACCTTTTGTCTCATTACTGTCTTTCAAAAATAGTGTGTGGGTTGTTTTTTTCTGAATTTCAACAGCATAATGAAAAACAAGAAGGAAAAAAGTGTGCAGGCTTTACTGTAATTTCAGATACTATATACGATATTTACTACTACAGCTACAATTAGAAGCACCGCAGTAGTGAATGGTTCATATGGACTTAATATAGACAGCAGCACATTGTGTTTTTTTTCTATATTAAAAAGCTCTGTAAAGTCACTGAAACTGAACAGCAGGTTCGCAGGTGAACATCATTCAGAATTTACATCCGTACCAAACACCCTGACGGTATTTGTCAGTGCTAAACTGCTCGCCATTACGCAGTCTGAGCACCTCCAGGGTTAGAGGAGATTCCTGACACATGGGGCAAAACCCTGGATTGTGGCAGCTAATTTTAT